ATATATATATATATATATATATGGCGTGTCGCGTACGTACTAACCAAATCAAATCGAAACAAGTATCGAATTGTGCAAAATTATTTCTCAAGTCCTCTATAGTAAACAGTTAGGCTAAGTACACATTTAGGGTTAGTATACATGCTTTATCACGTGTATGCGAATGTCTGCTACCCTATTTCTATACATTCATTTTTATATTAATTAGTTGGTGTTCTCAGTCAAAGGATGATGATGATTATTATTGACTTTATAAAGTGTACATGATGCGATTAAAAAGACGTGTAAATCAAATTCTTAATGTTTTTCTGTATTATATTACGAGCACAGTATAATTAATGTTTAATAATGTACAGGATAATGACATTTACTTACAACAGTGACTGTATTGAACATTGAGATTTTAGACTGAATCCATTTTGGTGTTACTTTATTTAATATCTATAAATTTTAGTGCCAAAAGATGATTAAAAATGCAATTATATTATTATAATTACTATAGTACGAGTATGTTAAGTAATAATTAATATCAAAGAGATACATTTTATAAAAACTATTATATATAAATATTAAATAGGTATAATATGTAAGAGATTTTTAAATAAATATAGTTTTTAAGTTACATTAAATAGGAACTTTTATGGTTGATAATTAACTATTCAGAAAATATTATGTTTATAAAAACGATACTAACCGATGAATTAGTGCAAATTATTGAATATCTAAAAGACAATAGAAAAAAAAAACTTATAATTTTCATATAAACTACTAATTTAGCCATTTATTTTTCTTCAACCAAATGTTTAAAATTAATCATTTCATTAATTAATTTTTTTGTTTTTATTACTATGTAAAATATTCGTCAGTTTAGCATTAAATATTAAATTTTATAAAACCCAAATTACTTGCTAAATAACATTTAACACTTTTTAGGTTTTTTTATCAGTTTTTCTTTAAGTTACTATAAAAATCCATAAGTATCCTCTGTATTGTAAATAAAAAAAAGTGTCCTTTTAAAAATACCAACTAAGTTAATTTTTAAAAGCAGTTATTTCTGATTGAAATTTTTTACCAAGTAATTCAATTATAACAGCAAAAAATAATTTTTAAACTCCTTCATTCGATCAGGATTTAAAATAAAGTAACAAAACTTGAATATTTATATTTATAGGTATGATTATTATTATACATGAAATGAATAATGTATTTTAAATCATTAAACATTTTTAAAATTGCATAAATTATGATATTTAACAATATCCATTTGTGTTTTAAGAATGTAAGATCTCAAATAATTGATTGGAAGATTATGATATTTATTAGTAGCATGTTAATTAATTATACCTTAATGATAACATAATATATATAAAAAAAACGTTTCGATACATTCAACATGTTGTAGATAATTAAAATTCCATTTTTCTTTGATCGCTTCCTTGATTAATACGATTACCTATTTATTATATGTTCATAATTAGTAAACTTTTGAATCTCATCAGTTTTTAAATAATACATAAATAAAGAAAACATAG